CCCGCGAACGGGCTGGCTGCATGGGGTTTTCGTGGTTTTCCTCATGTGGTGTATACGAGCCAGTTTCCCTGAGAAAGTCCTCCACGAAGGCATCACACCTATTACGCAGATAGCCCTAGTGTGCTTTGCCATAATTAAATACACACCACCACATGTTAGTTTTCAATTCAGCCTGTACACAAATTAAATATTTTTAATGACTAATGTATTTTTTAACAGGTTGTTTCTTAAAATACTTTTGTTATACTCAAAATATGTGTTCAATATTGAATTATTTTTCTTTCTCTTATAATTAAAAACTAGTTATATGGAATCAAAATTAAAACATATGCAGCAGTTAAATAACACTGAACAGAATATCTTACTTACTCTTTCGCTATTTGTATTCCAGCATTATACACAGATTTGTTTTCCTTCAGGGTCAGGTATGTGTAAGTTCACTTAGTTATATCAATTAAATTACATCAGGCATATGCATCAGTTAAACAACATTGAAGGAAATATGTCGCTCGCTCATCGATGTTTGCATCATAGTGTGGCCGATAAATTGTTCTTTCTTCTGAAGCATGTATCAGTTTACTATGTCTCAATGCTTAACCCAGACATTGCTTCAATACATAGAATTACTTTTGGGATGTAAAGAAAGTAACCAAAGCATGTGAATTAACTTAGATAAGCAAATTTATCAACTAATCATTCAGGTAGTCACTATTGGTAAACACGACATTGAGATTAAATATCTCGCTATAAGTCTACTCTACTTCATAAAAGGAAAATTATGATAAAAAATTAAAATAGAAGTAAAATGAAAAATAAATGTAAAATTACATAAAAGTTATGTATGAAAACTACATAAATTCATTTAAAAAATAGTCAGTTATTTTATCTGGTTGTAAAAAAAGTTTTCCACCAAAAACTGTTCTTCATAAAACGTTAGAAAAAACAACAACATGAAGGTAGTATATATAGCACGGGTACAAATCACCAGACAAATCTATGATTTTCTGTCAACATTTTGGTAGTTTTTCAAAATCATCGACACATAAACTTGGTGGCCACGAGTTCAAAAGCAGATCAACTACATTTTGGACATCCTGCGCAGAATGGAAGATAGCACCAGCAAGATGTGGCTGCAGGTGTGATTAAGTAATCTCATGCAGTACCCAGTAATTGAACTTGTGCGTCAAATCTACGAGATACTCAGCGCAACTAATGGACATGGCACTAATGTCTAACTCTTCAGCTTTCACTCTCTCGAGACCATACGCAAGCCCTTGAGTGGTTACATATTGATATTCAACAAGTTCTCGTAGGTGGGCCTCATCAACATCAGTAGGTTGGCCAGAGTGATCTGCTTCTTCAGTATCATAAGCCTTGTTTTTGAACTTTAGGTACCAAACCTTCAGTGTCATTTGATATAACATTAGCACATAAAGTTGTACACATGATTTGGCGAAATTTTGTAGCTGACTTTTTGCAAAAGAACTGGAAGAAAATTATAGTTCTAATCTGGTAGTGTGATAGTTCCATTTCACACACCTTGTACTTAATGGTATTTTTTTATAAATTTAAGAGCACACCGTTCTAAAGCAAGTCTCTCTTTTTCAAATACATTTTGCAATACAGTGTTCTAAAGCACGTTTCTTTCTTTAAAATGCATAATCTTTAATCATATATACAAAATATGATTCGAATTTCAAATCTTTCTTTAATCCTATATACGGAATATGATTAAATATGCCAATGTGAAATTTCGCGAAGAGGATATTTGAAGTGGCAGGATACTTTCATTAAAACTCGAAAGCTTACTTTAATTGTTGGGAAAGACATTTCATGTCATAAGAAAACACACATCTTTTTAATGCATGAAAAATATTTTCTGGTTCTCTGCTCCTTGAATGTCATAATCCTTGTTTTTGCATTTTCGGTACTAAACCTTCACAGTTTCATATGACATTACATTAATACCTAAAGTTTTACACACGCGATTTGGTGACATTCTGTAACTGACTTTTTGCAACACAAATGGAAGTAAATGATGATTCTATTCTGTAGTAGTTAAAATAGATGTAGTAGTTAAGTAAATGATTCTATTTTGGAGTAGTTAAGTAGATGATTCTAATCTGTAGTAGAAATAGTTTCATTTCAGACACCTTGTATTCGATAACATATTTGTTTTATACATTTCACAATACAAAACTCTCACACAGTTTTTTCATATGACATAACAGTAGTACCTAAAGTTGTACACATGATTTGGTGACATACTGTAGCTGACTTTTTGTAACACAACTATATGTAGTAAATAGTTTCATTTCAGACACCTTGTACTTCAATGATTAATTGATATTTCTTTTACACATTTCACAACACATTGTGTTTTAAAGCAAGTTTCTTTCTAAACATGCCAAAAATTGTTTGACAAAATATTGATTAAATATGCCAATGTGAAATGTTTGCGAAGAGGATATTTGCAGTGGCAGAATACTTTCCCTAAAACACGAAAGCTTGTTTTGATTGTTGGGATCATGTCATAAGAAGCCTCACATCTTTGTAAATGCATGGGAAATGTTTTCTGGTACACTATCTTCAAACTCGACACTGTGTAGTAAAGAATCATATGCATTTGACTTAACTGGCAATGATTTTTTACACTCATTTTCATTAACATTTTGAACTTCTTCATCATCATCAATCGCTGTCCTGGCTGCTATTGAAAAGTATCTTCATATATGAGTAGGATGTAATATGAGGAGGAGTTATAAAGATGATGCAATCCACTTCTGTGCCTTTTTCATATCAGCCTTATTTCTTTTCTTCTTTTTCATTTCTGTATTCAAATACCTCAAGCGTATAAATGTTCGTGTCTTAACATATATTTTAATGATTTCATTATGCACATCAGGAAACTTTTGTGCAATTTTTTTACACATAGTTTGCATAATGTTATTATTTCTTGAAAGACCATCTTTCCCATGTTCACTTACAAACACTACTTCAAATTGACTTATTTTTTTTTAACCATTCCTCAGATGGAACAAGTAAACCACCACGAGAAAGCGTTTCTATCCAACCAACGTGTTCATCTGAAGGCAGATGGAGCAATTGTTCTGTAGGTGTTCCCAAAGAATGGTCATATTTTCTTCCACGGTAGGCTATGTAGCCTGCAAGGTACCGAAAACCCTCTACAGAGCAGTCAGCTGCAGGTTCACTTGCAAGGGTCAATCTAGAATTATCAAAAACAATATCCCTCATCTCAGTTTCACCGTCTAACATCTTCAGAGCTTCAGTCATGTCAGGTAAAATATTACCAAAAAAGTTGGAAGTAATGTATGCATCTTCCTCCTCATCAGGAGCAACAGAAGATGTGTTAGAAAGTGAAATCTGGTAGGAATTATTAGTTAACAATAAAAGACGCATTCGATACTTCACGTCTACGGGCAGTGGATGATCATAGAAATGGCCAAGACCGCGGATTCGGGAAAAAAAATTTTCCAGGCAATCTTGATTTAGTCTGGAAGTTAAAAGGTATTTAACTCCTAATTGTTTCAAATCAGAAAATAACCCCAGCAGTGATGTAATCGACATCATAAATCCTTTCTGAAATGGTAATAGGTGCTTTGCCTTGCCCACTCTCATGTCTTCACAAAAAGCATAAAAATTTCTTTAAGGTTCTCTCCTGGATTTCTTCATGTATCCCATACGCACAAGATAACACTGTATCAGAGACAGGTTTCCTGGAGTTAAGAATATCAAATGAATTATTCACTAATTCAAAAAAAAAATTGCAGTTTCCTCTTCTTCTGGTATAAGATAGCGGATACCTTGTGCAGTATGGTTTGAAAATAACTGCGCAGCTAAATGCACACGCTGGCGTTCATTACCTTTAACAGAAATGTGACTTACGGACAACTTTGGGCAAATTTTCACTTCTTTGCAATCCATCGATATCAATCTTTCGATAGGTTCTTTTGTAATTAATTTATTTCCCGGAAGCGTTAATCCGTCATCCAAAAAGTGATTACGAAGAAGTTTCAAAAGGTGTGGCACATCAGCAAACACCCACACACGTTTACTAGAGTCCTGGGGATGTGAAAAGCTGCTGTTAAGATGAGTAATCTGAAGTTTTGTCCACACAGCACGATTTCTACCACCCAAGTCAGCTACAGCTGCAACTACATAATATCCAATTTCTGCTAATGTTATTATTATATCTTTCAATATTTCTTTCAATATTTTGCCGTCATTTGCGTATCAAAGTCGAAATATATTGGCTGCTTCCAGCTTGCAAGAAGTCCTCGCACCATTACTACTTGAACATTTCTATGTGGGCCAACAATCTTATCTTCTGCTTGGTCATAACAGATTCTACTATCCACGTTCATTTCATCGAATGAAAGAACACACATACATTCTTGGTCTGTCATCTGTAATGCCCCAGCACGCATAACATGAATTACATCGTGTAGCAAACCAGGAGAACAGCGAAATGAACAAGATACCCATCTCTTCAAAGTCGAAATGCTAGGAAATGGAAATCCCATTTTTTGTCTGAGATAGTTATAGCATCTTTTGGATACTGCCCTAAGTGTTGCAGATTTGCAAATGTCATCTGCATTCCACTTAACATATTTTTTTATTTGACATGAGAAAGCGAATTTGATTGTCCGTAAAAATTGTCCCTAAAATTTTTTTAACTGCACTATGTACTTGTTTGCTTGTTACTTTCCTGCTCATTTTCTGATAGCTACGCAATTTTCTACGAGAAGCAGTAAGTTCAGTAAAAATAATTTTCTTTTGCATTTTCAATTGACTGCACAACACATTTAATCTCTTATTTTCCTTTTCTAAGATTTGCACACGCTCAACTAAATGAGATGTGTCACTGGATGTAAACTGAGTTGCACAGTCTATCTTATCAGCTTGTAGTTTTTTTTTTTTCTTTTGGGGGAAAGGGAAGCTAAATTTTCCAATGCTCGTTTCCTTGTTCCCCGAGCCTGACACCTGCTTGCTCTATCCCTTTTTAGCATAAATTTAGATGACTCATTCCTGTTAGAAAACGTTCTCTCCAGATTAGGTTCAGTTTTTGAAGCACAACATATATACTTTATTGATGAGTTATTTTCACATGATGATGACGGAAGATGTAAAGTGGGAACAGCATTGGCTTTCAGCACCCTTTTAGGAGTTGAACCAAGCAATTCTGCCTTTAGATCTCGTACGTAGTCATCAGGTGTAAAATGAAGAGCACATATTCTGGCATTTTCGATGTTGAAATTATCTGCTCTTTTGCAGCGATTAGTCCATAACTTACGAAGTTCTGGATCACTTGGAAAACGATGGTATGTGATGCCTTGACTTTTAGTTTTCCTTCTATAATTCTGACACAACGCTATAGCACAACTTGCCATTTCCGACTACTTATAAAAGCAAATTAACAACACAAATCAAATGTATCACAGATCAAATGCAACGAATGTAAACAAACGCCGAGAACTAACGACTGTCACCCACATGACGTCATGCGCAGGTGGCATAATTTTCTCCCTGCACTACGCATCACTCGTGGGCCCCCCCTGATAAAATACTGTAATTTTTTGCAGGTATGGTTAGAAATACGTCTACTTTAAGATGATGGTAAAAATTTTATAGATTATAATTCAAAAATGTTTTCAAAAATTTATAAAAATTATTAACTTCGGTTACAAGTAAGTTGATTATATGTATGGATTTATATGAACTTGCGAAAAGGAGTTTCAATATTGAAGAATAGCTGGCAACTGATACGGACCTCGACGGCTTGGGAATAATAAATTAAAGCGAAATCTGACGATAGCTCAGGTGAAGAACTTCGCGTTGTTTATTCTCTTGATTTTGTAAGCAGAAAACGTGAGAATTTAACTATACCTTCACCAAGATTCGAAGAACGGATATTTATAACCACTCGCGCTATGAGAGTATGTAAGACAGAAGAAACATTTTGTCCTTATAATATTTTCATTCACAAAAAAAGGAAAAATTAGAAACCAGGGATAAATTTCAAAGATTTCTCGTAATTCAAGATGAGAGAAGAAAAACTTTGTATTCTTACTCATTTTGAAGATAATTTATCTGCATTTGAAACAGAAAAGAAAACTACTTTTAAAGACAATTTTGACCTCCTTAAAACAATCATGTTGGAGAAATAAAAGTAAATGTAATAAATGCTGATTCAACATATTATATAACACACACATACACACTTATATGCACCAAAAATACCTATTAAAAATTTGTACATTTTTTCATCTTATTATGATGTTTATTTGGCAATACTGCTATTTAACTTCCTCATTCTGCAAAGGCAATGTATGAAATTATTCTAATGATTACCTCCCGAGCATTAGATTCTAAATACTAACTTCGGATTTCAGGAATCTAGTCAGTTCTGCATTAGCCATTTCAAACTTGTTTTGCATCATAGGGAGACATCGCATTGCAACAAAAGTATCTGCAAATTATATCAGTGCTTCAGGGGTAACCGCATACGACCTTTAATACTCCGAAAATAATCAGTTGCTTTTTATATCAAATCACGAATAAAAAAATTAAAAAATAAAAATGGGACAGTTCTATATCTCCCGTTCTACAAGGCCGATTAAAAAAATTCAAATTGCATTTTTCATGTCTCGAAAGCGCGACTTAGGATATATATTAGATTTTTTTATAGCTTTGTTTTAACATAGGTATTCTGACATAAAGTGGGACTTTTTCAGAAATAACATACCAATATTTTCCATATTTCGATTCTACGACTCAAATTATGCCTGGATATTAAATTTTGTAAAATTTGGTGCGAAATTTTCGGAGAAATTCAAAAATTTATCTTTGCAAAATGTTTTCAGTTTGCGCCAAGAATAATTTACTTGGCGAATCTCTTAACATGTGGCAACCAATTTTTTTACCTTCCATTATGCTTGAGCGGAAAAAAAAGCACCTCGTTCCTACCTTTTTACATTGTGCATGATGGAAAAACGTCACTGCGTTTCTACTTCCAAAAAATTTATCAAAGTGACAAAATCACATTTGATATTTTATCGCTTTCAACAAAGATGTCAAATTTCGAAACGCGCCAATATATAAAATCACGTATATTTTGAATAAAATACTGTAATTTTTTGCAGGTATGGTTAGAAATACGTCTACTTTAAGATGATGGTAAAAATTTTATAGATTATAATTCAAAAATGTTTTCAAAAATTTATAAAAATTATTTAAAAATACAAATTTTAAAAATAAATCTTAAAAAATGAGTGAATTTTATTTGGAATGAACCTGAATTTCGAACTGTGAAAGGAAGAATCAAATGAGTATAAAAAAAATAGAGAGATTGCCAAATATATACCAAACTGAATTAACATTGAGCAGCTAAAATTTTGAGAGCTAATTTTTTAAGAAGTACTCGTACGATTTTTACAAAACTTGATCGTTTGGCGTAATTTGACTCGTAGAAACGAAATGTGGAAAAAAATTGGTATGTCATTTCAGAAAAAGTCCGATTTTGTGTCGAAATACCTATATGAAAAAAATGCTATAGATAAATCTAATACATATCCTAAGTCGCGCTTTTGAGACATGAAAAACGCAAGTTGAATTCCGCCAATTGGCCCAATAGAAAGGGAGATATAGAACTTTTTTTTTTTTTTACCCACAGTGTACAAATATCGACTCTAACTACATCATTTCATTTACTAAAACACCGAGGAACAAATAATAAAAAGTATCAAAAGTTTTTCCATTAAAAGAAGTATGGAAAAAAATGATAATCTTTTTAAGCTAAATATGTCTGATAAAATCTAATGTTTTAAAATAATTAGTGAAATTCTGACTCGAATAGGAAATCTGACTCGAAAATGACTCGAATAGGAAATTAAAACTCAAAAGCTTTACTTAAATAACAGTGTGTTAAGAAAATTAAAAACATTACAAAAGGAACTGTATTCTGATTCAGAAGTCAAACAACAAAAATCAGCGTTAATTCACAAAATTTTCACAGGACTAGTTTCGATGGTTTTACCGAACCATCATCTTCAGCTGCAAAACCGCAAATGAACAAGATAGGAAATAATGATTAGATAAGATAAGAAAGCCTGGACAAGAATAAGCAAGTGGCGCCATCTGTTTGCGAAACCAGAACTAAAACATAATTTCTCTAAAAGCCGAAGGCAAATTTGGATTGGAATTAGGATCGTTAACTAGAACAGAAAGATTTTTATGAATGTGAAATGCCTCTAGAAAATCCAGTTCTCCAATGGAAGATGTTTTTTGAATAATTTTGGCAGCAGAAAAATTGAAAGTGTGATTTTCGGACCAACAATGTTGAGCAACAGAAGACTTCTGTGTTTCCTTTTTTCTAACATATGCCTCATGTTCTTTGACGCGAAATTTTAAGGCTCTCTTAGTTTGGCCAATGTAAATTAAACCGCACTGGCAAGGAATCCTATAAATACCCCAGGAATTCATATCCGGAATGGGGTCCTTGAGTATAGAAGTTGGAATTTTATTGATGGGAGAGTAAAATTTGCCTTCGGCTTTTAGAGAAATTATGTTTTAGTTCTGGTTTCGCCAACAGATGGCGCCACTTGCTTATTCTTGCCCAGGCTTTCTTATCTTATCTAAACATTATTTCCTATCTTGTTCATTTGCGGTTTGCAGCTGAAGATGATGGTTCGGTAAAACCATCGAAACTAGTCCTGTGAAAATTTTGTGAATTAACGCTGATTTTTGTTGTTTGACTTCTGAATCAGTATTTATTCGGCGTGTTATTGTGTCTTAGGAACTGTATTCGTTGATGCGCAGTAATTAATGAGAAAATATTTTTAAATAATAACACGATGTGCAATAAACTAAACCAGTTTAATTTCAAGTAATAAGTTTCATACAACTATCGAAAAAGCATGTTTAGTTATCTGTTTGGTTTAAAAAACTTTTTCGAAATTCTAGTCATTAACTATGAGTTTTATTTAACTTGGAATTCGTTTCGATCATTTTATTAATTTATTTGATTGCATATGAAATATTGCAGATTTAATACCCTGCAAAGAGTCATAATGTTCACAAAATTAAAAATGAATTTATCTGTGTAAAAGAGTGGGGAGGTATTATAAATCGGAAACAGATAACTGGAGAAATAAATTTTTAACTTTGAGGAAATAACGCTGGAAGAAAACTTAAAATTTTATACTAGTTTAATGGTTATCTTCCAAGCCAGAAATTTATGCGAATTGCTAATCAGATTGAATTTTCATCAAATGAGCATTAATTAAAAGTTAGCTTGTAAAACTGTTAAATTAGATTTGCAACTAAAATTACTTTTTTATGCAAGCCAATTAAGAAATTTATAGGTGCAATTTAAAATGCATATATATTTATTATTTTTTAAATTTATGGAACACTATGAAATTTTTCTCGGATGGAATAATGTATTAATACCATTTCAAAAAGAAAAAAACAAACTTCAGAGTTACATGCATATTTAAAGAGTTACATAAAACAGAAATAATTTTTCTCCAATTAAATATAATAGACGATTATAAACTTTCAACAAATTCAGACCAGTGTAAACAATCAAAGGTCACATATTTTGCATTTTCACAAGTTTGAGAATATATATTTTCGTAAAACGTTTTAGGTAGAAATTTATTTGCTACGTTTAGCATCATTAATTTTCTGTCTGTAATCGCTTGCAGCTTGTTTATAACTCTTGTAGATCTTGAGCTACTGGCTCTTAGAATTTTCCAACTTTGGTAATAAACTTGGTATCTGTATCTGCTATTAAAATATTCCAAATATAATAATTTTGTAAAGAAATAAGTTATAATTATTGTTTTTTTATCATAGACAGGAAATATCTCAAATTCATTATATCATAAATAACGAGTATATAATTTCTTATTTTCTCTCCTCTGCATTAGCTAATTTAAAACGTAATATCTACTTCTTTATCTACTCGATAATTTGGCAAGTTTTAGCTTTCAGTAATATCGAATTTTAAAATAAACATAAACTGTCTCATGGTCTATTGTATTAATCCAACCAATTATTTTATGTTTTGGAACTTTACTGTTATTTCCACTTTCCGTTTTCTCGCCAGAATGTAACGCGAGGTTTTAGTAGTCAGTCTTAGTTAGGCCACTAGATCGTCCGACAAGACACACCAGTTAACATTAATTGTCATATTCCTTGCCACACTTCCCTTTTCACTCCAGCGGAGCTTCCCACAGCTGGTTTATCTTTTGCTTCCTTAATTCGTTGCATCTTCAGAAATTGTGACCACCGAATTTTACAAGGGATCAGTTTCTGCCTTTGTTCAACAGTTTAGAGAGATTAATCATAAAACTATTAATAATTTAGGTTTGCTCGACAGAATTTTACATCATAAAATTCAGACATAAAATACGCTAGCCCTTCTCCCTCCTACCAAAAACAACACAATAACAACAACAAAAGGGCCGAGTTTTTCCTTT